CACCCTCTGCTGATTTCAAGTACCACTCAAATGCTTTTTTCTCATCTTTTTGTGTTCCGATTCCATTTTGATAACAACAACCAAGATTACATTGTCCTCCAGCATTTCTACCCTCTGCTGATTTCAAGTACCACTCAAATGCTTTTTTCGCATCTTTTTGTGTTCCGAAACCATTACTATAACACACACCAAGATTATATTGTCCTGATGCATTTCCACCCTCTGCTGATTTCAAGTACCACTCGAATGCTTTTTTCTCATCTTTTTGTGTTCCGATTCCATTTTGATAACAACAACCAAGATTACATTGTCCTATTGTGTTTCCACCCTCCGCTGATTTCAAATACCAATCGAATGCTTTTTTCTCATCTATTTGTGTTCCGGCTCCATTTTGATAACATACGCCAAGCTTGTATTGTCCTAAAGCGTTTCCACCCTCTGCTGATTTCATATACCAATCGAATGCTTTTATCTGATCTTTTTGTCTTCCAATTCCTTCTTCATAACAGTTTGCTATAAAATATTGCGCCATAGCATGATTATTGTTTGCTGACTCTTCGAAAATCCTCGCTGCAAATTCTAAATTTTTATTTATTATACAACCAGTTAAATAAAAAAATCCTAAAAGTGTCTGATATTGAGTTTTCTCTTTAGAATCGTGTAAAAAAGTATGAATATCGAAGGAATATAGAGTGTTCTGTTGAAAATAAGATTGTAATGATCTGCTAATAGCAGAAATTTCTATTTCGTAATTGAGTTGCATAATTAGCAAATTCAATAAATCATCAACAATAGTTTCATATGCATTTTTCGGATTCGAAGATACGTTGGGTCCTTGATTGTTTGATGAAAACACTTCGAAACTTAAGGTATTAGGTACATGTTCTAAATTTAAGGTATTAGAGATTGATGATGGTACTTCATATACTAAATAGTGATAGTTGTTAGGGATTGATGATGATACTCCATATGAGAAATTAGAAGAGATTGATAATGGTGCCCCATGTGCGAATTTAGGATTTTCTGTTGGTGACAATGCTTCGAAACTTAATGTTTCATATGTAAAATTGGAATTTTCTGGGAAGAAATTAGAATTTTCTAGGAAGAAATTAGAATTGTTAAAGATTGATGATGATGCCCCTTGTGTGAAATTAGAATTTTCTGTTGGTGACAGTGCTTCAAAACTTAAGGTATTAGAATTTGAGAATGACGTTTCATATGTAAAATTGGAATTTTCTGGGGATGACAGTGCGTCGAAACTTAAATTATCAGAAATTGATGATGACGCTTCATATGAGAAATTAAAATATTCTGTTGTGGACCAAGCTATTTCCTTTAAATCTTGATTTACTTTATCTATAGTTGGCCGATTTGTTGGTGTATTATTCCAACATTTTTGATAAAGGTCAACATACTTTTGAGGCGTCCCAAATATTGTCATTTCTTTCTCGCGAATATTTTCATGATATCCATATTTATTTGATGGAGGGCGACCGCTAGAAATCACCCATAATAGAATTCCAACGCTAAATATATCCGATTTCTTGTCTCGTCGAAAAGTTTCCGGATCTTTTAGAAAAGTTGGATCAATATAGCTTATGTTTCCATAATCAGTTTTTGAACTCAAGTCATCATCTGAAAGTTTTGAATAACCCAAGTCTGCGATTTTGATTTCTCCATTATGAACAAGGATATTATTATGGTTCTTTAAATAGAATTTAATTGTTATTTATCTTCTTGCATCAAAGTTAAAGAAATGATTAAGATTCTTACCAAATCTCTATGAATGATGCCTTCGTCGTGTATACATTTTACCCCTTTTGCAAGTTGCCTTGCTAAAGACAACTTGTCAACACCTTTTAAATTTTCAAAATTTTTTGCCAGATAATCTCGTAGGGTTCCGCCATTAGCAAAATTAAATACCAGCATATATTTTTGAATACTGGGATCTAGTAAAATACATAGCATTTATTCATATATTTCTATTTATATATATATATAAATCAAGTGTGTTTGTTATGAAATTTTACCTTTAGTAATTCCATAAAAATCAATAATGTTTGGATGATAATTAATTTTGATGAGAATTTTTAACTAATTTTATACATAATTTTATTAGTTGCTATTGGTAGTTTGATTGTAATATCAGATAAACAACAAATTTACCTCCTTAATGAATTCTTTTTGGTTTCGTTCATAGTTTTCATTCTTTACATAAAGGCCCTTTAAAGCTACTACCATGTCATCTTTTAAATATGCTCTATATACTTCGCCAAAATGTCCATTTCCAATTACTTTTTTATCTTTAAAATCATTAAATTCAAAGCATTTGATAAGGTTTTCTGATATTGCAGTTTCTATCGTTGACATCGAGGAAGAAGACATTTGTGATTGATTTGATATTATAGTTATTTCAGAGTTTCGATTATTTACATGTACATGTACTACAAACGCGATAACGATAACGATAAGCAAAGGTTAAAAAGAAAATTTGGGAATTACCTGTACATGTCACATTTTATGTGTTTTGTATGGTCGGTAGTATGTATGTCGAGGTACATTTATTGCATGCATTATCGTTATCGTTATCGTCATCGTTACCGAGCTCTGAAAATTCTGGTTCATTAATAAAATGCATGTACCACAAAAAGTATCGTCCGGTTCAAAATTATATAGTAAAACATAAAAAATGGAAAATTTCAAGCAATGTACATATTCATGTTTTTTTTTAGCAATATTACAAATGATTCCCAGCTTCGGATGACTTAAAGTGCAAAGACCATTTTGATTGTAAAGGAAAAATATTTTTTCCCACTTTACCTATAAAAAATTAATATTTTCAAGCTATATACATATTCATATTTCTTTTAATGATTATTTCTAACTTTTATATTATTTTAAAGTTTTTAAAGTTAAAAAATTGTAGTTTTTCAAAAAATGATTCCTAGCTGTAGACAACTTAAGATGCTAGAACTGTTTTGATTATAAAATCATGAAAAAATTTTTATATATATTTTACTATATAATTTCAAATCGAACAATACTTTCTCTGGATATTTACATGTATAATGGTTCTATTTTGCCGCCTGGAAAAACTCAACAATTTCATTTTTTTTTTCAAAGAAACTACTCGCACGAAACTTAGTGATTTAACAGACATTTATAAAGCCTTTTTTTTCTTATCGTTATAAAGCCTTACGTTTCAAAACCATAATACATGTATCTGGACCCAAAATTCTTGTGTAATACTTCAACAAAATGAGACAATTTTTCTTCACAAAATCCAAAGACATAATATTATTTATGCACAATTCAAAAGTTAGTTGGACTAAAAATTACAAATGCAACAAGAAGCGAGAGCTAGACTGAATGATTTACACAGAGTGGGATATCACTAAGGTTCTAAAGGTCTCCTGCACCAACCTACATGAAGATTGTACAATTGTAAGGACAAAGAATGTAAAAGATAAAGGTAAAGTATAAACAAATATATTTAATTCAGTTTAACCAAATTACTAACAAATTATAACTTTAATTTAATAAACCGAAATACCAAACTAATTTCTTGAATTATGACTATCCTAAACCTCAAAATAGATTTATTTAAAAATGACTAAACATAATAAAAAGAATTCTATTATCCAAGGCAAGCAAAAAAAAATAATTCGAATTTTCGGCATGCATCACATGGATCAAGAATCAGACGTGATTCATCAACTTTGTATGGTCAAAGTAGTAAAACTTTCAATCGTTAAGCACAAGAGAATTAAAGCTATCGATTATGTTAAGGCACAAAAGAGATGAAATCTTAAAGTAATGTTAGGTAAAAGTTAAAATAATTTGATCTTTATTTATTTATCTTCAAACCATACAAAAATCTTCTCTCTCTAACTATTTGCTATTCTATAGGCCTAGACTACGAGTCTTCATGAATCAGGATCATATAGAATATGGATGAGTTTATGAAAGGGATATTTTATAATAAAATAAGACTTATACACATACTTTTATCTGTTACTTATTAATTATTCTTTAAAATTTCATTTATTTTGAAGATTGAACATTAAAAAATCCTTTATTTGTAAATTATTTAATCTTTTTCTCACCATTGTTCTTTTACTTCCTCCTCTGAGTATATTTGTTACGTAACACATCGATAGAATATTATCAATATAATATGATTGCTGCAAATCCATTCCATCGCTTCAGTATTCTTTATTCATTCATAATCGAGCATATAAATAATCAGAATCTCACCATGTATTTTAAATGATAGAATATTCTAAATGTTTTGATCCTGTTCTCTTAAAGTGTATAGCAATATGTGATTTTCAAATGGCAACAGGTTTAACCTACATATAAAATGCCATTAACATCAAAGTTCTCGGGCTGTATGCTGAGCACAGGTTAATATATTGACATTTTTAATGCAAATTAGATTAATCTATTAAAATACTTGCTACAAGTTCAAATCACTAGTAGTTTTTATCATCTTCATGTGACAAAATGAACGTTTTGAACTTTACGTCTTTAAGAATTTTATGAACAAAAATAACGGATTTGTCGTTTTCATTAAAAAAATTTCTGGATTATAAATTATATTTAAGGTCAATTTATATTTTAAAATTTTTATAATCATAATCATTTTCAATAATATTATTTTAAGAAAAATATTGTTTAAATCTTAAATTTGAACAAAAGTATTAATATGTTCTTACAGAGATTTGTTACTGAACGTTTTGATTTCTAAAAGCAATTTTAATTTTTGTATTTACCAAAATAGTATAACTATAAAATGTACCAGTCATTAAGAGGGTACATGTATTAAATGGTAATTTTAACTTATTATTGTTGACCTTATGTCTTACTGAATGCTGATGCATGTACTTTTATAGAAATAAAACCAAGTTCTTCAAACCTTAAGATCATTTTTGTCTCCATATTTGGTAGATACATGTGCATGTTTAACGTTAAGTAAGCAGTATATGTACATGTACATGTATTAATGTTTGGTAATTAACTGCACGTTATTGCTTGAAAAACAGATGTTATCAATTTATTTTACTTATTATTATTTTAATTAATATAGTGCTTGTTCTTAAATGTCGGTCATGTTTTTAAGTAAAAATTAAAAGATGTTAAAATAAAGCGTGCATTGGCCATTAACTCACTTTAACTTAGTAATTTATGTTTTGAATTTTATATCAAATTTAAATAATTATATATCATACCAGCGAATAAAAGCTCACGTTAATTTGAAATAATATTTCAGAGTTCGAAAATTGTCGTCATTTTTTACTTACGCATGCATATTGATTTTAAAAAAAGGTTTGAAACGATCTAGCCAAACAATACCGATACAAACAAGAAATCATCAATCACCATCATAAAAACATTCAACTTATATTGATAAATAAAAATAAAGCGAAAAAGTAGACAATAGGTGATGATGTATTTCGTGATTTTAAATCGTTATAAAATTTACTTTTTTATTGCGTCTATTTAAATTAATCCATTTAGCTCTCTTCATTTCTATTTTCTTTGAATAAAGAAACAAATAACAAAGGTCAAAATTCAAAAACAGGTCTGTTTATTTTGTTTGTATATCAAAGAGACTTTATTTAATTATTTTTTGAAATATAACTTTAATAAACAGATGGAGAACAGTAATAACAGTAATATTACTGAGAATAGTTTCACCACTTTTAATCGAGAACAAAAGTCCTTGGATAAGATACACGCTCAAATCCGAGTGGTATTGTGTTTTCATATATAATGTCACTAAATTAATTAATAAAACCAATTAAATTAAATTTCTCGTATCTTTTAAATTGAAGATTTTAGAATCACATGCCAAAACGACAACAGCAATAATGGAACTTTGGAGCATGCTTGGCGAAGCCACTAAATCGCCGATCATCGAATCATCCTCAAATGATGATAACAATAACTATTATGATAGATTTGCGAATGCAAGTAAATCTGAAATTTCAGAAAATGAGGAATCCACTGAAAATGCTTTGATACCTGAACGGCATTACGCTGAAGGGAGAACTCGCTCCAACTTTTATCACTTGAGAAAAGATGATGACAGCAGAATGACCACTGACACCACAAAATCCAAGCATTCTGCGTCCGTTAATCATCATAGAAAGAGAGGAAGAAGTTCTAAGGTTGTTGGTTCCTCCAAATCCTCACCATACACCACAACAAATCCTAATAAACGAAACGTCAGCGCCATGCTAAATCCTGAGACTGTGGTGAATCAACAACTTCTTGATGATTTCAATGCTTGCTTTAATCGTAGATTAGCACAAGGATCTGTTTCACAAACAAAAATCGCTCAAGAGATTTCTAAATTTGTAAAAGATGAAACCTTTCACGTGCATCAAGTCGATGTGTCGAATATGTGTAAAGGCAAACTTCCGGCCAGTTTTAAACATGAGGCCCTGAGAAACTGGATTTCGGCGCAGAATGCTGAGCCAATAGTGCTTATCCAACAAGAGCGGGAACAAGATGCGCAAGATGATCAACAGGAAACATACACTGCTAACACTGCTAACATAACACGAGACGACTTGGATGATGAAATTATTGAAAATAATTAACATATACATGTATTTTTATCAGTAAAGCATTTTTCCATATTTGTTTCTTTTCGATATTATAGTTATGAATATTTCTAGAAATACAATATTACAATCCAAATTTTTCTATAATACCTATAAAACAAGCGACGAGCTAGACCGGGACTTGGCAGGCACCAAGTCCCGTCGCGCGCAAATTTTTAAACGTATTGTCAATGTTTGTTAGGTTATTTTCGTTTTCTCATTTTTCACAATGAAATTTTAATTTTATGCTGCAATTATTTTAATGAAACAAATGATGATTATTAACAATTACTAATGCGCTATGGGGAAATTTTGATTTGATTTGTAAACCTATAACAAATTGGAAATTCAATTTTTTAGATTTTTGGGAAAATAAAATTTCTTTACATTTATCACATGAAAATGTTTAAAAAGTGAATATATAAATTTTAATTAATACTTTATTATACATATCAAATTCAAACTTTTTCTTGAATTAGTACCTGAATTATGTAATATAAAATTTGAATAATTTGTTTCTTGTATAAATGTAGTACCAATAAATTATACTACTTTGTTTCAGTAGTTATAATCTTCACATGACTATTTTATCAAATTTTAATAAATTATATAATTATATAGTGAACATTAACTTGATCAATTATAATAAGAAATCAATGAAATTAAAATATAGATTCACATTTCGTGAATATAAAATAAAATATCTTAGTTTCTTCAAGAATTTATATTGACTGTGAATATTATGAAAATAATTTTTTCAACATTATTTTAATTTTTGCAGGTGATAACAATAGATTTTACAGATTATTATTGAGATATCTGTTAAATCATTATAATTTATTACAAATATAAATGATTATAGCTTTTTGATATTTTAAATTTTTTAATAATAATAGAAATATTTATATAAATTATTCAATACTATATTATATAAATAATATACTGTAATTATTATTATCAAGATTAATTAGTCAGAAATTTATAAGATAATACTAATTAATATTAATAAGAAATTTGAAAATAGCTTTATATTAATGTTATAATAATAATAATTTTTAATAGATAAGATTTTTATTTAAAATTATTTAAATTTTTTATAATTATTAATATATTTTTATATAATTATTTATAAAAATTCTTAAATTTAGTAATATATAATAAATAAGAAAAATTTAAAATTTATTTGATTTATAAATATACTTAAAATCTTATTAATATAAATAAAAATATAATTTATTATTAAAATTTATTGTTTTAAATTATATTAAAATATATAAATATAAAAATTCTTTTTATTCTATATAAACTTTAAATTTTTAATATTAATTTTTAAATTAGTATTTATAAATTATTTTTTTTATTTTAATTATCTTATATAAAAATTTATATTATATATATAAAATTTATATAAAAATTTATATTATATATATAAAATTTATATAATAATAAAAATTTACTAAAATATTTTAAATATCCTTAATATATTAATATAATAAAATCTAATTAAAATTATAATAAAACCAACTTGAATTTAGAAATAATTTATTATAAAACAATATAATCATCTTTATCTAAAAAATTATATTATATATATAAAATTTATATAATAATAAAAATTTACTAAAATATTTTAAATAATCTTAATATATTAATATAATAATATCTAAATATAAAATAAACTTGAATTCAGAAATAATTTATTATAAAACAATATAATTGTCTTTATTTATAAATTAAAGATAATTAAAATACAAGCTAATAATAAAGTTAAGTCAAAATTTAGTTGTAATACAATTTATATTTTAAGATAGCAGATCATAGCTTATTAATAAATCTAGAACTTTTCATTATATTTCTTAATAATACTAAAGATAAAAAAGAAATCAAAAAAATTCTTGATACTTAAAATATTAGAAATTAAAAAGAAATCTAAAAATATATTTTCAGATATTTTACTAAATTAATTATTATTCAAGAAATTAATTAATTATAAAATTAATTTTATTTTTAATTCTAAATTACTATTTAAATCAATATATAAACTCTTTTTCATAAAGATAGATAAACTCAAGAAATAATTAGTTAATTTTATTTAAAAAGATTTTATATAACAATTTTGATTGGATTATCTTTCTTTAAACTCTTTTTAGTTTAGATCTTTATTTTGCACTATTTATATAACAGATTAGCTTTATATTATATTTTTAAAGAGATCTATTTTACTCTGAATATACAGATAATCATTATGTATTTAATATATCTAGATTTAGCATATTATTACTTAGATAATTACTATATATATTATAATTATAAATTTAGATTATTAATATTTTTAATTAATTATTTCTTTATAATTTTATTTATTCTTCTTATTATTATATTTATATTATTATTTATATTATTATTAATTATTAGATT